AGTAATATGATTCTACTGCCGCCAGCTAAGTGACCTGAGAAAGTATACTTAAGCTCCTTGAGCCTCAGTGTTCCCATCTGTAAAATGGGAATAATAATAATATCTACCTCTTAGGGTTTATGAGAGTTAAGTCTTATATATATAATTTATAATAAATATTTATAAGTAAATATGATAAAATGTATACATAAATACATATAAATTAATGTGTGTGTATATATTTTCAGTGCCTGCTGTGGGAAGCCTGCTTATGACCACCAATATCTGCAGTTTCCTCTTCCTCTTGGCACTGACCTAGACCATCTCCCAGCCTCCCCTGCAATTAGGTGTGACCATTGACGGAGTTCTGGCCCATGGGACCTGAGGGGACGTCATATATCTGGCCTTGACATCCTCCATGCTCACTGCCCTGGCCCTCCATCAACCTGTGTTGCAAATGGAAAATAAAGCTTTGTTGAGATCAGGCCACTGAGATTTTGGGATTTTTGTCAGAGCCATTAGCCGAGCCTGAGTAATGCACTGGTAGATACTGAGCTCTCAGTTAATGTCAGCTGCTGTTCTGGCCCAACCTCTCTGCGCCTGTGTTTTTGTCCGTAAAATGGTGATAAAAGGACCTGGCCCACAGGGCTTCAAGGAGCAAAAGAAGTGATGGGGAGTTTGTCTCACCAGCTTAGCTTCTCTTCAACCACAGTTATTTTATCTGAATACTACCAACTGGGTCATCATTACCTTTTCTCATAAGCACGATTATCCATAATAAAACCTCTTGCAGTTTTAAAAGGATAACAGGTGAATCTGCAGTACTGTACGCCTGAAGCCAGTAATAATGTATAGTTTAATTCAGAATTCTTCCTAAAATCCATTTGAATTGAAATTTTTAAAACCTAAATATAGAGTAGGATGTTTCTAATTTAGAAGTTCGTTGATTTATTTATTTTTATTTTTTAAAGTTATGAAATATTTTTAAAAAACAAAAAAAAAAGATCTCACAAACATCTATATTCCCACAACTCAATATGGCCAAATCTTAACATTTTGCTATATTTGATTTGTGTTTTTTCTAAAGAAATAAAACACTATGGATGAAACTGGAAAAAAAAAAAAAGAAATGATGTATCTAAAGCACTTAGCATAGTGCCCAGCATATGCAAAGCGGTAATTGTCCGCTAATTTTTTTTATTTTGAAATTATTTTAAGTTTACAGCAGACTTATAAAGATAAAAGAGGCATTTCTTGTATACCCTTCACCCAGCTTTCACCCACTGTTAGCTTCTTACATAACCTTGCTACATTATCAAAGAAATTAACGTTGCTATAATACTATTAACTAAACCACAAACTTTATTTGGATCTCGCCAGTTTTTCCACTTATGTCCTTTTTCTGTTGCAGGATCCAATCCAGGATACCGCGTTGCATTTAGGCCAGCTAATTTTTAAGCATCTATTCATTCATTGAACACAGAGTATGCTGCTGACTTTTGGTCCAAGACCGGGGATTCTGAGTAGCAGATGATGCCTGTACCTTGTGCTATGATGACAATGGACCACAGTATCGTTTTTGAGAACTTACCACACATTGTGCAAAGCACTTTCTATGTGCCCACTCGATCCTTGCCACAATCCCATGTAGTGGCTGTTATTAATCCCATGTTCTAGATAGGGAGGCTGAGGTATAGAGAGATTAACTGAGACCACACACCTGGTGAGGGCCAGAGGTAGGATTTGAACCCACAAAGTCTGGCTCCAAAGTCATGCTCTTAACAATGCACCACTCCTTCTTTCACAAGCCTGCTCTAGAGAAGAGGGAGAGTGGACGCATTGTCGCAGACCTCCCTGGGCGAGTGTGGCGGGCAGGCAGGCATCCCGGGTCGGTGAGTGTGCCAGCCTGGAGCTCGGCTCTGTTGCCTCTAGGGCGTGGGGAATATTTGGCTTCCCCACTGCCTGCCGCTTCGTGGCTACCTCCCTTCTCCCCCTGCAGCCCCAGGTTCTGCATCCAATCCAGAGAGCCCCAAGAAGGGGGCCTGCTGAAACCTAAACCCCAGGCCCAGGGTGTGGCTCTGTTGCAGTCTCAGGACACCCACCCAGCCAGCAGGGGCAGGCTGCCCACACCCAGACTAGGATGATGATCTAGAGACTGGCTTCTGGAACTGCTATCTTGGATCCTGCTGATGCTACATGAGCAAGAAATAGCAACAAGGACTGAGGTGTCAGGTGGAGGAGGGATCCAAGGGAATTGGGAGTGGGCAGATTGGGCTACTGAGCTGGGACTAGCTTTATGTGCTCTAGAGAATAACAGGCCCCAGCAGCCTGAGGATGAACTGAGGACAGCTCTCTGTCCGTAGGGTGGACAGGAGCCCTGCTGGTTGGGACTGGGCCCCGTGACTAAGCTGGGCACAGCAGCACCAGCCCTTCTGCCATCCTCCAGCAAGGACATATGTATACCCTCTGGAAAAGGCCCAGAGAGTATCTGAGGCAGCCAACAGCCAGCTGGGACGGGGACCAGGTGCTGCAGGGAGGTGATCGGAGGAGCCAACTAAGCAGTACCTACCCTTGAGCCAGAGCCCAGAGATCCTGGATGCACGAGGTAGAATTCTAGCCCTGTCTCATCTTTTCTGAGGCTCAGTGTGTTCATCTGTAAAATGGGAATATTAATACCTCCCAAGCAAGGCAGCACACATCTGTGTGGTTTTTGAATTGCAGAAGGGGTGAACAGGGGCTATAACCCAGTCAATGCTCAGCTCACCCAGCTGGGGACCCTGACTTGGGACTATGTCCATTTGGGAGAAAGGGACATCGTTTCCTTCCCTGAGCTGGTTGCCCAGGCGTGCTTCTGCCCGAAAAGTTGGTTTGCTTGGAGGGGGCACCTTTTTCGAGGAGCACTTGCCCTCTGGAAATAGACCAGATGGCAGAGAAGGGCAAAGACTCCTTACGCCCCCAGGAGAGGGCAGAGCTGGCCCCAGAGAGCCTTGGTGGGGAGTGAGGGGGAGGCACAAAGAGCCCGGGTAGGATAAGACATGCTGGGAGGAAGGTGCCAGGGGAGCCGAGTGGTGAGATGCTGCATGCAGGTGGGGCTGGGGGGAGAGGAGGTGCCCTCTGGAGGCGGCTCAGTCCCAGTCCCAGGGCCATCCTCTCCCTCTCGTGGCCTCCGTAGAGAGGGCTAGTGGCTGTGGTGCCAACCTGTGGCTGCTGGTCCACAGACCCACAGGGCTGTACCTGAGGGCAGGGTCATAGCCAGAGCCATGGGGGCCTTGAGCCTGGGAAGGCCGGGTCTGAGACAGCCAGCTGGGAAAGAATGACGAGGCACCGGGCAAGTCAAAACCCAAGTGGTACAATCACAAGGAGTAGGATGGCGTTTTGGGATGCCGAGGAAGAGCATGTCTCTCAGGCTTGCAGGGTCCAGGAGGGCTTCCCAGAAGTGACATCTAAACTGAGACCTCAAGGAGAAGCTGGAGTTAACCCAGTGAAAAGGGGTGAGGGTGGAGCATTCAGGTGACGCAACCTGACGTGTGCACGGTACCAGAGGAAGACAGTGAAGCGCATCCTGGGAATTGCAAGTGGACTTTCTGTCCTTTACTTGTGCAGTATGTTTGGGAGCAGAATCCAGTGCGGCTGGAGATAGGAGAAGGCCTCAGGTAGTGAGGCACATTTATTCTTTGTTGAGGTGTTTGTACTTTGAGGGGTTTAAGCCAAAAGGTGATGTGATCAGATTTCATTTCAGTAAGAAGCCTGCCTTGGAGGGAGGACAAGGCTGGAGGCAGAAAGACCATTCGCCCGGCTGTTGTGAGAATTCAGGTGAGATTGATGAAGCCAAGTGAGCAGATCTGGGCAGTATTTAGGAGGAGTCTAAGATGACACCTGTCACTGACTTGGGAACGTTGATTGCTATCAGAACCTGTCATCGAAGCAGGGAACCGGGAAGAGGAGTGGGTCTGGGTGGGGGCTGGTGATGAAAACCTCAGCTGGGTTTGAAGTTTGGGTATGATACTCAAACAGAGGTGGCCGGTGGGAGGCAGAGGTTTTGAGCTCAGGAAAGAGAATTGGGCCAGCCGTGTCCATCGGGGAGTCATCAGCCTAGAGATGCTAACTGAGGCTGCAGGAGCAAGGGGGTCCCCCAGGAGAGAGCAGGGCACTGAAGGGGAGGCGAGGCAGAGGGGAGAACCTGGAGAAACCTGGACATTCAAGGGTCAGCCTAAGGTGTCAAGGGCTAAATAGTGGCGGCCAGCAAGGGAGCAGGAAAACAGCCCATTTAATCCTCACGGCTACCTTGGGTGCCATTTACAGGTGAGGAACCCAGCAGGGGGCTTTCTATAGTGTTTTGTTTTATTTTATTAGAGCATAACAACTAAGAAACTCAGAGCTAAATATTTTTTCCTATCATATAACCGTCCCTTCACCTAAGAGTTCTGGAGTGTCCCCTCCCCCACCCATATCTTCCTCTTGTTTAATGTCTCTATTTTTCAGGTGTCTGTAATTTTTTTTTTTTTTCCTGAGACAAGGTCTCAATACATTGCCCAGGCTGGTCTTGAACTCCTGGGCTCAAGTAATCTTCCTGCCTCAGCCTCCCCAGTAAGGAGACCACAATTGTGAGCAGTCCTTTGGAAGTAAAGTGTAAATGGAGAGTTTGGCTGGTTCCAACAGATGCTATCTGTGCACACGAGTTTTGATAGTTGGCTTTGGGTAGGATGGGCATGGAGAGGATGGTGACGCATCGAACTTGGGTCTTTATCAGACACCCTTACTCTTGGTTGAGGGTATGAGGAGGACAAGATGAGGAAGAGGTCATCTAATCCTCAGCACTTGTACCCTGGCTCCTCTCTCTTGGGCATGTGACAGGTATTGCTAGTTGATCCCCACTCATCCTCCTTCCTCATGAACCCTGGGCATGGATTCTGGCCCCTTCTCTAGGCTGCCAGCGTATCGGATCAGAGTTGGCAAGCCACCTGGAGCCTGTGGCCACCCTGAAAGTAAGCCATTGCTTCACAAACCACCAGAAGATCACCTGTCTTTATTATGATGAACCTTTTATTATAGAGACAGACTGAACTTTCTTTTGCATAAAGAATCTCTGGATTGGGTCGGGGAAATCCACCTGCTAAAGGTCACCACCCAGCCGTCCCTGCCCTTGCCTCAGCTAAGCCCCCACTTGCTGTTTACATCTCAAGGTCACCGGGAACAGCAGAGGCTGCCGTCCCCAGAGCCAGGCTGGTCGTGTTGGGCCATGCTGGATGGAGGGTCAGGGCTCCTGGATGCCTGCCAGGTCAGAGCCGCCCCGTCTCCCGCCCCAGTCGGTTGTCCAGAACCTGGAGCTGTCGGAGGAAGCCCGAGTTGGGGCAGATATCACGGTGGGCTTGCACCGTCTGGATGGCCTCTACCAGTGTCATGTTCTCGCAGATCATGAGGAAGGCCAGGACAACCGTGGCGGAGCGGCTTACCCCCATGGCGCAGTGTACCAGCACGCGGCCTGCGGGGAGACCCAACCTAGCATCAGCTACTTGCCCTCGAACCGCCCACCCCTTTGGAAAGAAGAGACGCCCCTGGCCGTCCTTCACAGCATCCTGGAATACTGACGCTGTTCTCACTGTCAAATGGGGCAACTGAGGCCCAGAGAGAGGAAGAGACTGGCTCAAAGTCTCACAGCAAGTCCGTGGCAGGGCTTAGCTTACAACTGGCATTCCCTTCTGCTCCAGGGTGCTTCCTGTGGCATCCTTTGCAACTCTAGGAAGGGGGTTTACTCCTGGGGTGCTCCCGATTTGCTTCATATCACAGGGGGTGCCCACCTACCTCTCTTTTCCCCAGTCTGCCTGCTCCCCTGTTCCTGAAGCCCTATGGCAAGTCCTCACCCTAGAGGAGTCTGCTCAAGAGCCTCTGCGAGGCCTGTACCTTCTGCCCAACACCTGGCCTTTCACTGCGGGATGTGGCCACGCTGACGCCCACACCGGATCTTAGTGGTGTCTGTGCTTGTTAGTTCCCAGGCTGTCCCTGAAGAGGACACTCACTAAATGGCAGTAGCTATTTGCCCCAAGGGGTGGGAGGGTTGCTGAAAGGGTTGTGGCTCTGGACTCCCACCAGGGCTACTGGAAACTTGGACAGCTCCAGAGCTTCCCCAGAAGCTCACCTTGGGGAACACTGAGAGCAGTTCGGATGTATCGCGCAACAGGCAGAAAGTAGACGCTCAGGTCGAAGAAGGGGTTGTCATCGGCCTCGATGCCGTAGTACTCCAAGGGCATTCCTCGGTAAAACTTGGCACCTGTGTCCACCTGAAACTTGCCTGCAGCGACGTTCACAACGTGGGTGATGCCCAGCTGGGTCAGCTTGCTCTTGTCCCGGGCTGCGTACCTGGAGAGGAGGCACAGGGCAGTTAGGAGGGTGGGGTAGATCTCCCTGGGTCAGCCCTGGCTGGGTTGGAACTTGTCTCCCCAACCTACAACCTGCCAAGGGTGGAGACTAGAACCAGTGAACAGGCCCGGGGTGAAG